CCATCTAAACTTAATCCCAGAAGCAACCTGTCTGAAGTAGGTGAACTCTGTAATGGGAAAGGATGCCAAAGCTTAGTGTAGTTATCATCGACTTCAGGGAAACCACACCGACGACTACCGCCAACTGAAAAAATAAATTGAGGCGTTGAATAGAGAGGACATCTCTTTAGCTATATGAAAGACAATAGCGCCCAATCTGGGAAAAGGGATACTCAAAGGGAGGACACAAATTCTGAAGGACCCTCACACAAAAATGGGAAGGGTACTGAGAAGTACATGAGACAAAGATAACTAGTCATACGCTCAACACCATCGCCGGGGGATTCGATGGTGGTAGAGAAATAAGCTCGGCCAAGAAGAGGTATGCCGATGCTTAAATGAAATTTTCCAAGGAGATAACGAAAAGTCAGGAGCAGGACTTAAACCCTGTCAGCTTCTCTAAATAGGACGTCGTGGGAATTTTGGCTCGAGAAAATGATCCTATGGTCATTAAGGTACAAATCCGAGATTAGGGCATAAAAAGGATGCTAATAGACCCGGGGAGCTCAGTTGATGTACTCTACTAGGACACCTTTAATGGAATAGAATTTTATACTACCGAGTTGCTACCATCCAATGACACCTTGGTCGAATTCTCAGGGGAGAAAGTGCAAGTACTGGGACACCTTCCAATGCTAACCACCTTCGGAAGTGGCGCGAACGCCAAATATGTCAGGGTAAGGTACCTCATTGTCAACGTTGCATCTCCTTATAACATCATCATTGGGATGCCATCTTTTAATTCTCTGGAAGCCGCACTCTCCACCTTGTACCTTGCCATGAATTACCCTTTGGGTAATGGGCGGGTTGGAGTAGTCAAAGGTGATCAGAGGCTGGAAAGAAAGTGTTACAAGGATAACCTAAAGCTAAACAAGAGGATTCAACCTGGGGAAGCCGGTCACTTAAATGATATCAAATCCAACATGTTCGACATTGACCCATGTGATGACCCACCGGAGGACAGTCTATTTCCTCATGAGGAAACCAAAAAAGTCCAAATTGGTCAATCTCGCCTTAGGTCAAAAGGGGCTCTAAACCACAACTCAGTCAACCTCGCCTTAGGGAAAAGGGGGCTTTGAACCACAACTCGGTCAACCTCACCTTAGGGTAAAAGGGGCTCTCAACCACAACTCGGTCAACCTCTTCTTAGGGCAAAAGGGGCTTTGAACCATAACTCAGTCAACCTCGCCTTAGGGCAAAAAGGGCTCTGAACCACAACTAAGTCAACCCCGCCTTAGGGCAAAAAGGGCTCTGAACCACAACTCAATTAACCTCCCCTTAGGGAAAAAGTGGCTCTAAACCACAACTTGGTCAACCTCACCTTCAGGCAAAAGGGGCTTTGTCTGCCACTAATCCGGTTACACCGTAGGGCCTTTGTCCTCCCTTAAAGAGTCATTAGACTGAAAAGCCTGGGGCTACTATCAGCTCTAACGAATTTCCAAGAGAAATACTAGGCTTTGTGCCAAAATGTTGGACTCTATCTCAACCCAAAGCGGCAAAGACACAAAATTCGCTAGGGGCTCATTAGCCCGTAAAAATAAAAGCAAACGAATAAACACCCAATCCCATATAGGCTTAGGGCTCTTAAAAGGAACACCAAAGCTGATTTCGTTAAAACAACTGAGAAACACAAGGGCATGTATATAACGCATAAAACGCTTACTCCTAGAGACCTTACCTTCGTAAAATCCCTCGCTCATGAAAGAACTTGGACGAAAGGACATCTTAGTGGTTCCTGTACTTGAGAAGCCTTTTATAAAGAGGATAAGTCTGAGTCTATAACCCGCATGGGGCTGTAAGTCGTTCGAAAAAGTCAAACAAAGATCATGAAAATGTCGTCGAGGCTTTTAAAGTTAAAAATAATGCCTAGTACTACATGATCAGACACCTACAACCCAAAGGACTTTGTGTGCGAGGGGCTTAGATACATAAACATGATTATTTTAAACCATGTTGGAAACCAAAGAAGAAAAAAAGTAAAAGCTAAGAATGCAAGCAAATAAGTAGGAGAAATGATATGACGATTACATAAGCCGTGAAGGGCAATTCAAAGTACAAAGCCCAGAGGCAGAAGACGTAGTTGTAACAAAAAGGGGGGATAAACCACTCCCTATACAGAATTACATAATTGTATCCTTATCAGATGACTAACAGAAAGACAAAACAAAAAACAACATCATGCAATCAAGTTCTTCTTCCCATCACCATCATTGTGTTCTTCTCGCCAAAAGGATCTTCAAGATTCGGAGGAGGAGAGGGAGCCTTTTCTACCTCCTCAAGATCCACAAGGCGACCATCCTACACCACCTTGAAGTAATCCATCTCTGCAAAATCCAAGCCTGGAGGAAGGCATAGTATCTAGTCCTTAGCCCGTTCAAAGTCATAGTTCGACACCTTGCTCTTAGACTCCAGAGTTTCCCCCCGCTCCTTCTCTTTAGCCAAACTCTTCTCCAAGACGGATAACTTCTCAGACGGAGTCTTCTGAGCTTCCTTCATGCGGGTTATCTCCTCCTTGAGCTTTAACTCCGTCTTCTCATAGTCATCACTTGACTCAAAAGGCCATGAGTTAGAACCGCACACCTTATGAGGTAAGAACTGAGGTTTTGTGTCATCTTTTTCCGGCCTATGGTCTTGACCTTGTTAACGTCTTCAGTGTCATTGAGATGATCATAAAGGAAGCGGAGCCCATCAAAGCTATTGGACCAAAACTTGAACTCTCCAAACGCTTGACCATCTTCGGGCTTTCTCATCATAGAAGTTATCTCAAAATCGGCCCGACAAGCGTCATTGCTAATAAGAGTCTCCAGTTTCTTGGGAGTTCCTTGTTGTACCTCCTCCTGGATGGATGAAGCAGAAGTTTGTGGCTCAACCATGCTCGAGGTAGACTTAGTTCCCGCCACCTTCCTCCTTTTCAAGGTCCAGGTTTCTAACCCAATAAGATTAGACTTGACCACCGATGATCCACCAGCCCCTTTCTAGGCAGCTCTGGCTTCCAGCATCAGTTTCTTCTCTTGGCTAAGGAAAGATATGCCATCTTGTCTGCAAAGAAATAAATAGACAGTATGAACATCATTAGTAGATGTTCACTTTCGATAATCCGAAGAAAAAATTATTACCAAGAAAATCTGGGATATGTTTTGCGGTTAGGGGCAACAAATCCTTGATATTCATCATTCAAAATGAGTCAAGCACGTTCAAGGCTTGGACCTCCAAGTCGCTCAATTTATCAAAATTGAAGCCGAAGATAGGCGAAAGATCCCGGGTCCAATAGAAAGGGAAGCGTGGGTTCCTGTCTAAAGCATACATCACCTGGGGGAATCTCAACCCACACTTCACCTTTTGAAACCAGTCTTTGAAACCCTTATAGTTAGAGGTATATACTTGGAGAAAACTTTTATGAGGAAGGTTACTGATTTGAATCCAATAACACTTCTTGGCCCCCTTGACCTCAAAGAAAGAGAAAAACAGACCCATTGTTGGGATGATGTTCATCGCCTCATAGACTATCTCAAAAGTCTTTATAAAACCCCAAATATTAGCGCAAAGTTGAGAAGGAGTGACATTCATAAACTTCAGTATGTCCACCTCAAAATCGAAAAAGGGGATACAGACCTTGAAGTCCTCTAAAACCCCTGAATAAAAGTAGAAAAACTCCTCATCAATAACCTTCTGGAAAAGAATGCATACACGTTCTCCAGGTACACATGGCTCTAGAATAACGTCGTCTTCCTCCCTGGTCGATGAAACATTCATTAGAGATCAGAGTTTAGTGATCTCTTCATCGTCAAGTGAGTTGTGATTGTAGCCCATAACTTCAAGGTCAAAGGGGACAAACGTTTCCATCAAAACTTCTACATAACCTGAGAAGGAAGCATCATATTCAGAATCGCTCAAAGAAGTGAAGGTACACCCATAAACTTTCTTTGTGATTCGATTAAACTCCTCCTGACCTAGGGTACCTTTAACCTCCCGTATGCATTAATCTCATAACTCCCTTATCTCTTCAACATTTGAGGGTTTCACAATATTTCCCTATTCATTTAATTCTCTTATCATAACCATTATCTAAAGATAAAACAAAGAAAAAAGCTAAAGAGAGGGAAAATACCTGGAGTTGATGAACACTTGGAAATGTATACGCTTTCTCTGGAGATTGAAACGCTTTACGAATGCTGAGATGAAAAAGGAAAGAGGGAAAGAGGGTTTTAATAGGGCCTAATGACTAGTGTGTTGGAAAGGAAATGTCACCCAATGAGAAAAGACTTGAGTAAAAGTCATCATTACTCTATGAGAGAGAAGATGCGCGACTCTTCATTCTGTGACACATACACAAGGTTAAAGTCGGGTTACAACCCGATGTCGACCTCAATACTTTCCATGCCATTTATGACCGAACACAACATCCTTGAAGATAGGATTTAAATTCGGGGGGCTTATGTACATCCTGGAAATATTGATCCCGATCGGTCATGAAATTGGCTGAAGGAGAGGAAAATTAGTGATCGGCCCTTAATAGTGAGTGATATCCGGAAGGAGGTGCAACTCGACTAAAGGTTCGGGACTACCATTGTTATCTCCAGGTAGAAACCCATATGCGCCACCAACCCGAACGACATTAGTAACCATAATTCACCTAACCATAGTCTATCATCAACGCGGCTCTTTAATGGATGTAACAGTCGTCTGTGCATTAAACCCAGCGTTACATGGCTTTGAACACCTACATTCATGTAACAGTGGTTCTTACACAATTACGAAGACCAAGGATCACACATTTATTGAGGCTCTTAACTGGTGCTAAAGTAGGAGTATATAAGGGGCTTTCTCCAGAGGGATAAGCAAGACAGACATTATTGTGACAATATGCACCATTGTCGTAGCTCCCAAATCCCCAAATACTCTACAGAAATCTACCCCTGGCTCTCCCTATAATTATAGGGAAGCTACTCATTTTAGTGTTTTTAGCAAGAACAAATATCAACCTCAACATCTTCACGGACATGATCATCATCACTCACGAAATTATTCTCAGGGGTCACATCATCATTCTCTTTATGAATTTTAGACTTAGTCTCCAACATGTCAGACATGATGTCTGACACATCTTTATCAACATCTTGATTTATCATATTGGTTTCCTGGGTCTCATCAACAAAATACTTTTGAATGAGATGGTGGTTTCTTATAGACTCATATATGAGTGGGACATCAAGCACATTTCCACCAGCAGCTAGATCAGACTTGTCAAAATGTAGAATATATGGAGAGCAGTATCTAGAACATACATCTTATAACTAAGATTCAATAAACTAAGAAGAACACCAATATAAGCTTCACCAAACACAATATCATGATTTTTATTAATCAAAACTAAAAAAATATGAGAAGGAACTCCAATAGGAAGAATCTTGCCATAATCACTAATCTTCTTTAGTTTCTTCTTATGAACCACTGTTGGTTGTTCAGTGGTGGGAGGACCTCCAACCTGACCATGAGTCTTGCCTTACATGATAAATTTTTGCATGAGTCTCATAAAGTCTATAAGTGGTAATTCAGAAACATGAGTAAGATGTTGAAACATCTTGTATGACATCTTAGTTTGTTTCCCAACTTGATAGTCCTTATAAATTTTACCTTTTTCAATGGAGGTCAGACATACATATGACAGATTTCTCTGCAACAAAGTTCCCTGTATTCTAAAGCTTAGTTTCTATTTCTAACATGTCATTCATCATGTGTGAAACATAATCATCATCGTTATGCTCTATAGTGGTAGCAACCATCTTCTTCTTTATAAATTTCTTTCTCTTATTGCTATAACACAGTGTACCATAATTTCTTTCTCCTATAAATTTTCTATTGCAACTACTTTCAAAATAATAATCTCCACAAGAAAATACATTGTTGGAGGAACAAGCAATATGAACAACAATATTAGGTTTGTCACGCCAAACTTATTGATGATGCCTTTGAGACTTCTCATTTCACTGGAGATACATATGTTAATGATGTGATTGTCTATCATATAAGTTAAGATAGTATGAGGGAATGGAGGAGACAAAATTAATGCACTGATAATCATGTCTGATCAAATGTTGAGACATGTTACCGGACATTCCACATTCTATTTTCTGGTATACATGTTTGATAGGATGTTGAGTGAAAAGGAAGAGATTTCAAATTTAGAGTAAAATCTGAGTTGAAATTTACGTGTAATATTAAAAAAAAAGGAATTGAACTAAGAGAGTTCATATGAGATCGTCAATACCATTGACTACTTAAATTAGTGAATTTCTTTTTTTTTTTTTAACTATAACCCTCCAAACATAAGTGACGTTACATTAAATTAATTACAAATTCTTTGTATTCTTTATTCGCTATTTGTTTTAAATTATAACTCGTTAAATTCAAATCATCTCACCTCTCATATTTTTACAACATTGTGTTGAAATCTTATTTCCCACCCGACTGAACTACAAAATAGATTCACCTACCCCTAAGCAACTAAAAGGATGAGTCTATAGAATAATATCATAAATAAAACGTCTATCATTGTAATTAAGTCATAACCATGTTATTTACTTAATATATTTTTTAGTAAAAGAAGATTTGTCTGTTCACCAATAAAATCTTATGAAGACATTATTCATGTTAAAGTCGCAATTGGTAAAGGAGATATCAACATCTAAACATTTGTGGCTTTCTTTGGTTCCACATGTTTGAATTCCATTGCCACGAATTCCATTGCATTATTGAAGGAATTATTTTAGGCGGTTTTGTAAATTTAATTTTTTGGTTACATTCATATTAGACTATTTAGAAAAGATAGTTTTGGTTTAATAATAAAATTGTTCTATTACGATCTTGGCTTATAGGTTCGAATCCTTTTTATTCATATAAGATTATATTGAAAATGATATAGAATAAATTGCCGTTTGAAAAATTATAATAATTTTTTATTGCCAATAAAAATTAGGCAAATATACTCTTCAGTTTTAAAATAAACTAAATTGAGATCCGTGAATGTTAAATTAATTTTAATTTATTTTATGTTGAGTTTTAATTATTTTAATATTTTTTATAAATATATTTAATAAATTTATATTATAATAATTTATTATGAATTTATTTGATAAATATAACCAATATTTTATTTTAAATAATAATAGAAATTAATCACAAATAACTATAAAAAATATGATCAATGGTTCATGTAATTAATTTTAATTTATTTTGTATTAAGTTTTAATTATTTTAAAAAATAATTAACATATCAATTCATTTATATTATAATAATTTATTATAATTTTTTTTTTACATACATAATTAAGTAATTGTAGGTTTGGATTTTTTTCACATATAAAAAACTACTTTTGATATTAAGTAACTGACATATATTAACCATATTTTGAAATTAGTATATAACACTTCTTAAGAGAACCGGGAGGAAGGTATACGTGCTACTAGAAAAATCGAAAACAACTAATAAAGTTACAAAAATAAAATAAAATTTTCATCAAAAACATAAAAAAACCAAAGAAAACTACTAAGAAACGAACAAATAAAAACAGTACGAAAAAAGAAGAAAAAGCTCATCCATGAGAAATAACCAGAACCAAGCTCAACCAAAGCTCCACAAGGACTAAATCACGTAACAGGAGAGAGTGATGCCCTAGAGAAACTGTAGGAGTTTAACGAGCATTGGTTGTTCCCAATCAAAAGTCTTCTTCTCCATTAAAAATTCCAAATCACACCACCTTCAGCCCAATGAACCACCTCACACACTTTTTCATTTTCATGAAGAGTAACTTGAAAAATTATGGGGAATAGTAACTTCAAGAATTTTTTTTTACAATAATCAAGTATTAAAATAATATTTCGCAAATAACCGCTTTTCGGAAAAAATTACGCAAGTAACCATGTTTCAGATGACTCCCCAAAGGAGAAGCCATCTGAATTGGCGCATCCACCCCTACTTTTGCCCTAGGCGCCATCTCACTTGGCGCCTCCCTTCACTTTTAGCCAAGTGAGATGGCACATGCTCCTTAAAAGTGAGAGGAGGCGCCATCTCACTTGCCTCCTAGGGCAAAATACTGTTTTATAAATAATTCGTCCGTTTCTCCGAAATTTCGCACACTTTCTCGCACTGTATTTTTATTTTTTACTCTGTTATTTGCGTCATGACGTCGCCCATGATTTTTAGCAGAGATGTTATCTTCTCCGCCACGAAACCTGCGATGAAAATGAAATTCTGGCACATTCACTCCATGGAGCATCTGAAGCGGGAGTTGATGCGATGGCTAGATGTAGACATTGCGGAGGGGGGAAAATTCGAAGGATCCAGCGAAAACGAACAACAACCTCACATGCGACAGGAAGACCTAATGTATGGTTGGAGGAAATCAAAACAGACAGCGATGTAATGTTGATGATGCATGGGTCAGATGAAATTGTGTTAACAGTTGTAATTTCGTAGACGGAATATCGTTAATTTTTCTTGTACGCGTTTTATTAATTGTAGCAAAATCTGTTAACGGAAAACCCTAATGTTTACAACACAATTAAGGAAAGATTTTATGTATTACAATTTTTATGTGGTCGAGGCAGACGCCTGATTCGGACAATTTTTGCGATTGTGTTCAACCTGACGCCATAAACCACACTTTCTTTCCAACTTGTCAAGATCGTCCATTTCTGTTGTGATGTGCTTACTTTTGGGACGGCCCTTCTTGTTCCTTCGCATTTGGTCATTGTGCCACACTATTTCGCCGTCGTATGCAGGCCAATAATCTGGTTTTGCTACCAAAGGAAGTTTTCAAGTTATATCATTTATTACTATTCATTTTCTTCACCAAATATATGCTAAGAATAAAATGTTTTTCATTTCCTTTAGGTACTGCGTGAGGGGTATGGATTACGGCAAGAATCCAAGATTCAATGTCGCACTATATCGCAATCTGTTGGATCACTTAGGCCCGGATGATGTACGTCATAGCTTTAAACTTTTCTTCATTTAAATTATTTATACATTACTTTTGTGTTAACCTAATTTTTAAATTTTATCGCAGTTCGTCTGGAGACCATATTTGGGTTTGGGCCATGATCCAAACCCGGAGGATGCAACAATTTGGACCGCGAAGACTGCAATCATTCGGTTCAACATTGTGGAGATGCACCACAGCGACCGTGTGAAGATGCAGTTCAAAATGCATCAAGAGATACCAAGTGATCCAACTTGTTTGTCCCCATGGCATCTTAAAAGGGTCGACGCCGAGTGGGGTCTTACCAACTGGAAAGACTTTGCTCCGGAATGGTGTAAGATGTGGCAGAGGCGTCACCGCTATGTCTTGCAATTCCCGGTTTTCCTTAATCATGGTAATATGCGACACACAGATCAATATTTATCTTGGTACAGGTCGGTTAGTAACCCTGAAATGCATGTGTCTCATCCAAGGTACTTGGCTGACCCACGCACACAATGGGCACAACCCTCGTTTCCCCAACAACAAACCCAAAACCCATCAACCTCCCACCAACCCCCAAGAAGAAACAGACCTACAAACACCCAACCACAGTCCCCACCACAACACAATTACACTCAAATGCCCCACAACCCAACCATAATCACCACCTCACTACCAATACCCCGATATGCCTCACACCCAACCACAATACCAATCACAATACCAACACACCCGCATACCCCACACACATTTTCAGTCTTCCGTATATCCCAATATGGGCCCCTCAACATCCAGCCTTAGCCCTGATATGGGAATATCGAAAGATTACGAACAAACCGACCCAGCCTACCATCAACCACAATATCACCAAACCATCCAACATCCTCAATACCAAACACCCCAAGATCCATTTCCTATCTACCCACCGTACTCAGACGATCAATGCTACAGACCCACCATGGAACCCCACCCACCGCCAACACGACCAAACTTTGAGGGTATGGGTAACCGACTGTACCAAAGTGAATCTTCTAGATATGGAGATCTGACTGATTTTATGGATCCGGACCGCATTGACTTCGCTGGGCCATCGACCCTGCCGAAACAGGAAACGCGATGACACCCAGCACGGGAAAGACGAGGACGGGGATGCGAAACCAGGGGTCATTACCGGGTTCCGGGGGATCACTGATTTATCTGTTTTTTTTATCTGTTTTTTATCTGTTTTTTTAATGTAATACAGTTGGATGTAATTATTTTTTTTAATAAAAAGTCCATTTTGTTGATCCTGTATCCAATACGCAACGCACCAGACAAAAAAAAATTCAAATTTTGCCCTAAAATAACACCTAGGCGCCATCTCACTTGGCTTAGGGCATGCCCTAAGCACATAGGCGCCAAGTGAGATGGCGCATCGCCTTAAAAAATGGGAGTAGGCGCCAATTCAGATGGCTCCTCCTTTGGGGAGTCATCTGAAACATGGTTATTTGCGTAATTTTTTCCCGAAACGCGGTTATTTGCGAATTTTTTTTAATACATGGCTATTAAAAAAAATATTCTAACTTCAAGGGTTGATGACCAACTCATGAATCACGCTAAAATGAGGTAAGAGGACGTAAAACCACCTTTTTAGAGACACCCTCCCTAAACAAATTATTTGTTTGCTTGATTAAGAGGCAAACTCTGACACACCTCATCACCATGGGAACGCCAATATCAAACTAGAAGATGTTCCCCCTCTAAGAGGTATAACCTTTTGATAACCAGGCCTTCCTACAAGAACCTAACACTACAAACCATAATAATTGATAATCATCCTC